AACTGCCGACCTTTTGGTTAGCAGCCAAGCTCTTAACCACTGCACCACCAGGGCTCCATATTAAAGAGAGAGGATAGAAATTATTCCTGGGCAGCACATACACAACTTTCAGCTTATAACATTGCCTATTATTTCACTGAGAAAATGGAAGTGACCAGAAGAGAACTTCCACCCATTCCCATCACCGCATCTACCAGCTTGCCTCCCTGTTACCATGGATGAACTTCCTGTGCTCCGGTCTAAGCCTAACCCCTTACTGGTGCTCAGAAGCCCATCCCTTGTTATCTACTTAAGAACATCTTTTTGACAGTTGGAGACATTCTCTGCTCTTCATTAATTTTTCCTTCTTTACTGGGCTGTTTCCAAAAGCATGCGAATATCCTCTATCATCTCCCATTGGTAGATGGGACTCTTGGACTCACATTCCCCTCTAGTCACCACCCCATTTCTCTTTTCCTTTTTACAGCAAAACTTCTTGAAAGTATCCTCTATACTTGCTACTTCCACATTCTTTCTCCTATTCTCTCTTGAACCGTGTCCACTAAAGCTTTTTTCTTCACCACTCCACAGAAATAACTTTGTCAAGGTCAGCTATGACCTCCAAGTGCCATATCAGTCATCAGCTCTCTGTCCTCATCTGACAACTTATAAACAGTATCTGACACAGTTATTGCACATAATCCTTCTTGCTTTATTTTCTTTGTAGCATGTTGCATTCCACCTGGCATATCTTAGACATACATTTTTTTGTTTACATACTTACATATTTGCACATAGATTCATGTATTTGCACATGTTTATGTATTTGCATATATATAGGTATGTGGCGCAGTGGTTAACTGTTACAGCTGTTAACCAAAAGGTCACCAGTTCGAATCCACCAGCTGCTCCTTGGAAACCCTATAGGGCAGTTCTACTCTATAGGGTCGCTATGAGTAGGAATCGACTTGATGACAACAGGCAATGGGATTTTTTTTTAATGTGTGTGTGTATATATACGTGTGTGCGTATCTATATATATACATGAGAAACACTGGTGGCGTAATGATTAAGCACTCAGTTGCTATCTGAAAGGTTGGCAGTTCAAACCCACTCAGTGGCTCCAGAAAGACCTGGCAATCTGCTCCCGTAAAGATTAGAGCCTAGAAAACCCTATGCGGCAGTTCTACTCTGTCACATGGGATTGCTATGGGTTGAAATCGACTCAACGGCACCTAACAACAAAAGCATATATTTAAGTACATATAGCTTTTGCTTATTTGTTTAAAGTTTGTCTCCTCTCCTAGAATATAAGCTCATGAAAGCAGAGATTTTGTTCTTCATTGTATCTGTAGCACTTAGATCAATTCCAGTCACCCAGGATGCATTCAAGGTCCCTAGGTAGTTTGCACTTGGCTTTTAACCAAAATGTTGGCAGT